AATGGCTGGTATGAGCAGGTCAAAAGGGACCGTCGCTTCTGAGTTCCTTGCGTCTGCAACAAGCTGAAGTGCCGTGTCAAGAAGACAGGGCAGATGCAAATCGACCTGAACCGTTTCGGGACGAAATCTGGGCACGAAAACGAGGAAATTAGCACACAGGAACCTGTCGGCAACGACCTCATCGTCAGTGGCTTCCTCTGGCGGATCCAGGGTGAGCAGGGCCTCTGGGTCTGGCAGTGGGGGCTCATCTCTGCGATGCCTGGTGGGTCCGGCCTGAGCGTCAGCGTGTCGCTCGTCCTGCGGTTGAACATCAAGTCCAAAGGTATGCAGGGGTCGGTTATCCTGTGTGGGAGGTGCCGATAGGTGCTCTGGGGAAATAGAGTCACCCCGTAGGCTGAGGACGACAGTGCACTCATTATAGACCTCGATGTACCCTTCTATGTGGGGAACCCCAGTGATGACCAGTGTATGGCCTGAAGGTCGTACAAACCCCAAGAGGTCAAGGAGGTATTGCTCCGGCAACCAACCAGGCGTGACCATGTCAAATGTCGGTCTCAGACCAAGGGCTCTGGGGTCAACAAACATGAAGGCTCCAATCTGATTGCCTGATAATGATTTAGGCGAAGCAGCAAAAGCGCCCATCATCAAAGATCCTCGGTGCACCACGTCATGTAGCGGACTATTCGACAACGGATATCCAAAGACCAAGTCTGCGCAGTTGGAGTGCAGTGCCTCTGAGGCTGCGAGCTGGAGCTCTTCCCGGGTGGTTCCAGTATGAGGCACAACGCGAGTAACATGACTCATCATAACATACCATTGGTTGGTTATGATTTCCCTAGGTACGGATGGCGGTTCAGAAGGCCACGGATCACAGAGCATGTCTTGCAAGAGAGGTCGGGGAGTGTGCGTACTGTGGCGGGGTTGAAACCTGAAGACATCTCCAAGATCCGCAAAAACCGCTTCGTGTGGTCCCAATGGGGTAACACGGTCTCGATAATAGACCTCCCAAAGATCCCCAACATGAACCCGAGCAACCGCGGCAAGGGTAGTGCAGGAGACATATTTCCAGTCCATCCAGGCAAAGACCGGTCCTTGACAGGCCGAGAAATCAAGGATCATGACTGTTTGGTCAGTACTACAAACCCACTTAGGAGCAGCTACTAACGTGGCAATTCCTGGCACAACCTGTGGGGTGGTGCTCTGTACGACCCAGTCTGGCTGCAAATGTGGGTAGTAGGTGAGGGCTTCCTGGTAGACCGCCTCAGGAGTCACCCGGCCCTGTATATATGACAGAAAGTAGTTGGTCGGAAAGCCTGCTCGGTACAGCAGACAGCGTCGAGGCGGGTCTGCGGAGGCATTAGATGTCCTCGACATTGCTGTGGCTGAAGCTTGGAGAGGAGTCTCTCCGTCTCGGCAAAAGAGAGCAGTGCTGTCGTCGTCCGGCCATGGATCAGGCCTGCGAGCTACCTCTGTTGCAATATGGTGCAAGACTTGGGGCATACCTGCTGGAGCTGCCCAGACACGGCAGGGCAGGCTATGAACACCAGCACACAGAAGAAGGACACGCCAAAACCTCAAAATGTTGCTTCTCTGCTGAAGGTGGGCGGTCTTAGCTCTTGAGGCCCCACAGCCAGGGGAGTTGGGGCCGGGTCTTATGTGTGGTTTGCGGGCACCCGAACCCAGAGATGGTGTGAACTGGTGAACAGAGAAACCCGAAAAAGCAAGCATCAGACCGCTAGGGGCAACCTCCTCAAGGAAGCGGCTGAAGCGGCGACCTGCATGAAAGGACCTGAAAAGGGGCCTAAGCAGGGAATGGAGGAGGACCAGAAACAAAACTAGTCGCAGGTGCAAAAAGACACTGTGGCAGGAAGCAGACAGGTCAGGGAGCAAGAGAGCCAAGCCATACAGTCGGCCCAATTGCACCATAGAGCATATGTTGATGATGGCGATCGTTGATCTGGCCTAAAGGAGGATTGAAGTCCAACTTGACAGGTTACTACCCCAGAGCCACCGATGTAGTTATTAGGCACGCTGTCAAGTAGAGGCACAGATGGCATATTCGCAAGCTCTGACGGGAGAGAGCTGGCTGCTGTCGCGAGGCTGGGAAATAACAGCACTTGTACGGTAGGTAGGCAAACCAGACCGTGCCAGAAATCCAAAACCCAAGTCATTGGCACGGCCTGCTTGCTCGAGGAGGAGGGGGGTACCAAGGCAAAAGGCTGACCCCAGAAATCCACAGTGAGGAAAATGCTCTGTACAGCTACAGAACAAGCCTCACTGGAAGCCCACGGTGAAGAACCAGGCTCCAACATCACATAGCTTCCACGAATGCCCCGCCTACTGGGGAAAAAGACTGTGTCCGCGACCCAAGCAAGACACAGGCAAATTCCATTCGGGAGAGGCTCTCGGGAAGCCTTCTGATGTGGAGCCTGTCGTAAAGATACTACTCCATTGCTGCCAAACCTGGCTTGGGCGGGCGATCGGTTTCCTCTAGGTCCTCGAAGTCGTCGTCCTGAATGATCTGAGCCTCCGCGGCTAGAGAGAAACCCGGAGGGCCATCCTGCCCATCCTGGCCCAGTTCGGCCTTGGCTGCCCTGGTTGCCTCCTCTGCCTGCAGCATGGCTGCTCGCTTGGATGCCAGCTTGTCCGACAAAGAAGTAGTAGAGGGCGACGGGGGATGTGCCACCTTCAAGGGCGCACCCTTGACTGGTTTGCGTTGCTGAGCCCCGGTAGGCTTCGGCCGGTGCGGCTTGGGGTCGCCTGTCTCGTCCCCATTGTCCGGCGGAGCTTCGTTGGGGGCAGCTGTGGGTGGCTTCTCCGGAAGACCCGACGGCGCTGCCGGCATAGGGGCCGCAGCTGCATGTGGCGACATAGCACTGTAGGTCTTTGTGTTCACTGCCATAGATCGGGCAGTCTGACCATCGGCTGCGCCGGGTGGGGCAAGTCCAGTAACGTGTCTGGCCTCCATCGATCGAGTCTGGTGCCTCTCGGCAAGATAAGCCCGAAGGTCTGCTGCCACATCGTCCTTGGAGGCGATCATGGGCTCCGGGCGTTCTCTCATCAGGGAGTCCCAGGCCGTATCGTCGACCTCCATGCGTGGTTGGGCCTGTCCAAACTGGAGGGCCGCCTGCTCCACCATCACCTGTGCTTCTTCCTGAGCTTCCAGGGCCGCAGCAATATCTGAGTCGATACGTTGCAGCGCTTTCTCGTGGCGAAGCTTCTCCTTGTTGTAGGCTGCTTTCATACCCTGCTGATATGCAGTCCACTGCTCTGCTTTCTGGACTTGTTCCCGTTGCAGCTTCAACAGCCGGGCATCGATCTTGCGAGCGTGATTGAGCGCCTGTTGTACTACGGCAGTACGCGTCTTCGGCTGCTCCTGGTCGAAGCGTCGCTCCTCGATGACTGCTATGGTGTCCGTCCGTCCCGAGGCCCAGTCCGAATCGTAGGCCGGGAAATTCAAACTCGGCTGGCGGTTTTCCCACTGTCGTTTGGCCCCCTGCCAAACTGAAGCTGACCACGAGGGCTGTGGATACCAGCCACCTTGTTGCCATGATCCTTGTCCGCGTCCTTGCTTGCCCATAAGTCGCAGGGCCCTTCGCTGGCCCGGTGCTGTAGCGTGATGGCGTAGAAGGGCGGATAGGTGTGCTGAGGAGAGTCGTCTCCCCGAGTGCAGAGCCTTACGGGCTCTGGACCGCTGCTGTCGCAGCCGACGATGCCACACGGGCGATGATGGTTTCTCGATGGCGAGACACTACGCACCTCTTAGGGTGCTGGGGCGATCTCAATATTCCAGCGCTGGTGCTGGCGATTGGGCCCTAACCTAGATAACTACTAATTATTCGCAGCCACAGTGATTACCTTGTTATTGGGTCCTTTGGACCCTTAGGCAAACACCGAACATCTAAATGCTTCAATTTTTCGATGCTATTTCGGCAACCCTAAACCCTAAACCCTTAACTTAGTAAAAAAGAGCAGCCAGAGCCCAGAGCCCTCATCTAAGGGTCCCCGACATGCCGGCGCCATGCCCTGGGCCAAGGCAGCAGTTCGCCGTCGAGCGTTCAGGACTTCTAGGGCCCCGGAGGACTTTGGGTTTGAAGTTCTAGGTCTAGGTGTGCGACGGTAACAAAAAAGAGGGACGTAGGACTTCGGAATTTGTTGAGGACTCTAGGCTTCTGGTTCAGGGTTCCCGAATATCTAATGGCCTACAGCACTAGACTTGGGGGGGGTGCTCTGACTTTCCGTGGAGCATCGAAGCACTCTGGCGATCCGTTTGGGCGTTGGTGGGCAAACGTTGCTTGCTATGAGGGCTTCGGGCTTCGGGGCTTCGGGTCGAGCGGTTTGGCTTTGGGACGTCCGGGTTCTTTTGAGCTTCGGGCGTTTTGGGGCTTCGAGCTTAGGGTTTACAAAGGCTTTCGGGCTGGGGTTTGGGGCATGTGGGCCCGTATGGGACCGTAGCATGTTTACCGGCATTAAGATTATGACTGCCTGACCCCACTTAGATCCGACTTTCGAAAGGGCTGTGCACAACGTAGGATTAACTGAATGTTCCATCAATCAAGTTCGCCTAGACTTCGCCGTAAGTTTGGCCGATCTGGAGAGGGGTGCAACAGCGACAAACAAGCCCGCTAGCTCAGAAAGCCTAGAAAACCCGGTGCGACAAGGTCATGCCAGCCACGCAGGCATTTGACAACACGGAGCATGCACCTTGCATTCCAGTCGGCAGAAGCTATGTCGCTCGCTGCCTGCTCTATCTGATTCTATCATGTTGCGCACATTGGCGGACCAACATTGCATCGCTGTGCTCTCTGAGCCTCTCAGCCTTCCAAGTATTGTGATGACCAGTTGGTGGGCACGGACACACTGCAGAAACGCAAACAGCGCACACAGTCATCAATCAATCTGACTGTTCTGTAAGTGCCTCGCTGGTCGTGCATGTACAATGTAGCCACTGTAATTAGTAATTGCTGTGCTGCTCTCTGGCACTGGCGCACTGTCTCAAGTCACCGGCTGCAGCACATATCCCGCATAGCTTGCTGCCAGAAAAGCATCCACCAGCCAGATGCGGCTGCGGGTTCCGGACGACGTGGACCGTCAAACGCCTCATGGATCCTGTTCCACGCCGACTCAGGTAAGCTGCGATGATCGCCACTCCAGTCGGCTCTGCATGCGATGGCTTCGCCATCTTGAATCGTCGAACTTGGAGATGTGGAGGACGAGGCAGTTTGCTGAAACTTCTGATGGATCCTCTTCCACGCCGACTCGGGTAGGCTGCGATGATCGCCACTCCAGTTGGCTCTGCATGCGATGGCCTCGCCATCTTGAATCGTCGAACTTGGAGATGTGGAGGACGGGGCAGTTTGCTGAAACTTCTGATGGATCCTCTTCCATGCCGACTCGGGTAGGCTGCGATGATCGCCACTCCAGTTGGCTCTGCATGCGATGGCTTCGCCATCCTGAATTGTCGAACTTGGAGATGTGGAGGACGGGGCAGGTTGCTGAAACTTCTGATGGATCCTCTTCCATGCCGACTCAGGTAAGCTGCGGTGATCTCCTGCACAAGTGCCAGCAGCTTTCCTGTCAGGGCGCGCAGCAACAAGTTTGGCGTAGACTTTCCTAGGGCCCTGCTGGGCCCAAAATTCTTTCTGTGGGCTCGGCTGGGTTTGACACTATTCGGAAACCCCCACCACCAGCAAAAACAATTCCTAAGATAGCCCAAGTTTCTCGCAGGGTTCGCGGTGTGGCTCTGAAGCTCTGGGCACCTTCTTCACGGAAGGTCGCGGGGCCCAGGCATCCTCCTTCAAAACCGGTTCGGAGTTCTTGCTCAAGGTCACCCAGCCGGTCAGCCCGGTCACTGCGTACTCCACGTGTGCGGACTTGGTGCACACCTCGGGGGACAGTTCTCAACATCTTTCCTCTCGCCTCGCCAACCCCCCCCCGGTGAAGGCATACGTTTAGTTCTCTAAATCGAGGTGCCTTTTAGGGTCCTTTTGTATAAGGGTGCCGTACTATATTGAAAACCCAAAAAGGGGACCCTAATTTAGAAAACTACACATCTGTACCATAGACCCGTTTAGGCTTCGCTTGGTCCCCAAAGGCGCCTCGTGGACGGTCACGAACATGCCCTCCCTTAGGAGCCCCACGATCTCGGCCTCCTTGCTTTTGGCAGCTCGCACCTCGAGGGGCACATGAAACAGCTAAGGGCTCTTGCAAGGGTTCCTGTATGGGTTCCTTTAATTTAGGGGCTTGAGGTTCGTATTCCCAGATAAGGGCTCCTGCAAGGGTTCCTTTATGGGCTCCTCTATGGGTTCCTTTCATCTAAAAGCTTGAGGTTCAGCTTGAGGTTCACCTTCCACGAAGGGAGTCTAGTGCAATATGTACAAGCCTATGCTGCCTATGCCCGGAAAGGGTTCGTAAAGGTATCTATATACTCGAAAGCAGGACTTCTATAAGAGGAGGAACAGCCATTAGGATGTGGACAAGTATCCCCCCCCTTTTAGGTACTTAGGATCCTTTGGGTAAGCTACCGGTGCCTTCACCTCCTGCACGACTTTGGCCCTCCCAGGACGCAGCAAGGGCGCCTGCAATCGCAAGACCAGGACCCTCCGCTGTGCCCTCAAACAGGGGCAATATGGCCCCGAAATATATAGGGGTCTGATTGAGGGTAGAAGGAGGGTCTTGGGATGGGTCTCACAGTCGTTTGCGCGGCAAATCTGTATCGGAAGAATGGAAAAAATTCACGGTTGCCCAGCACTCCTGAGTTTGCAGCTCTTACGTGGCTTGATTACTTCTAGATATGGCCAAAGGTATCCTCCACTGCTCCAATTGCAAGCCCCCTCCAAGAATCTTCTCTTAGAGGGAGACGCGGAGCCCGAGGGCCCCATGTCAAAAGTTAGGGCCGCAACAGCAACCAGCCGAAACGCTGTCTCCAAGACAAAACCCGCCAGAGCAGTCAAAGTACCTTAGCGGCGAATTCGGCAGCTGCGGCACCCACGCCACTGAGAGCGGAGGCAGCCCAGTAGCGCACATCCTTCTGCCAGTGTGTCTTCGCATAACTTCGACAGTTTGTCATGGACTGTCATGCTTACGAACTCTGCAGCATTTTACTGGACAACATTACCTGCGCTCACGGCGAATACAAGGATTGTGCTGACGGTGACGGTCATGATGGCGGTGACTGTTGTAAACGATGATGGCGATCTGTATAGGTGGTGGAGACAGTGACCTTGATGTGCTGATGGTGATGCTGGAGAAGGCAACGAAGGCGCTTGTGATTGTAAAGCCAAAGATGTTGATTGCGATCAAGACGGTGAACAGAGTATGGAGATTACAAAGAGATAAAGACAGAATTATGACCAGGGCGACGTGTTGCGTCTGCTGAGGCGGCTGATGCAAGCCAATGATGACGACAAGAACGGCGTTGACGACCCCAGTTTCGCCGCTGATACTCTGGCTAAGCCGTCCGGTCCTATTGGGCTTAATTAACCTGTTCCCTCTTACATCAAACGGGCGCCCCCCCTCCACTCAGAAATTGTGTTTATTGATAAATTAGCGGAGCTTTTGATCAAAAGTCAAAACTGTCACTTTGGGAGGATCTTGCTTCTTCTCCAACTCCTGCCTACCGCGGCTCTTGCTATTGCTCCTGCTCTTGCTCCAGTTGCTGCTGCACGTGCTGCTGCTCTTGCTCCTGCTCTCGCTCCAGCTCTTGCTTTTGCTCCTGCACTCCGCCAGTTCACGATAGGTTGAAAAGCGGTGATGATGTCAGCGGATTTTTTTCCGGAAATGCTGTTGCAGTTGTATCAGTTGTTGCAGTTGTGGCAGTTGCTGCTGTTGTTATAGTTATTGTTACTGCGCTTGTTGCGATTGTTATTCTTGGTGTTCTTGTTGTTATTGTTGTTGTTGTTGTTGTCGTTACTGGTGTTATTGTTGTTCTTGTTGTTGTTCTTGTTGTTATTCTTGTCGTTGTCGTTGTCGTTGTCATTGTCGTTGTCGCTGTCGTTGTTGTTGTTGTCGTCGTCGTTGCTAGTGGCAGTGTTGTCGTTGTCGTTGTAGGCCAGACTGCTAGATATAGCATATATCATATATATCGTATATATCGTATACATAGTATGTGTATGTACTATATATATATGTTGAGAGAGAGAGTGTGTGTGTATATATATATACACACTAGTATATAGGACTGTCCTCAGGTCGGAGCTTCTCTGGGACTTTCCGCTCGCCGGCGCTGTGGCGGCCGAGCAGCCGCGGATCGTCCAAATGCGGTGCCACGGGATCCATGGCCCCCGGGGCCGGGGCTGCGCGCGGCACACAAAAGACAAGGAGCCACCGAGTCGAGGGGTGGTAGAAAACAAAATGAAGACCTACGTGAGGCTCGGAGGCTCACAAGTCGACTTGAGGAATTCAGGGCCCCTGCTGGTATGTACTACTATGCACTTCTTGAGAAGGCTTTCGAGGCTGCGGAAGCCATCTTGCATGCCATCATTTCGGCACTGCCAGACAGAAATCTTAAAATAGTTTCCGTGTACCCTTGCTAATCAATCAAGCTCTTGCAGCATCAACAGGCGACCATTATCTCCTGATGGGAGCTTCGAGGCTGCTCCACAAGATGGACAGCAGCAATGGCAGTAGCTATCAACGACGATGATAGTCACAGTGGTACTACAATGACGAGGAAGTGCAACGAAACCGGAGACAGCCCATGAAGCTTATCTGCGACTCTGCGTCTTTCTGCTGTGACCTCAGAAGGCTTTGCCATGTCGTGGAACATCTTGAATAGAGCTTATGATTATGGGCCAAAGACCCTTCAGAGATCCCCGGCACCCTATAAGCCCTGATACCCCAAAGCCCTGATACCCTAAGCCATAAACTCCCCAACAAAACCTGAACCTGATACCCTGAACCCAAAAACCCTAAACCCTAAACTCCAAAAGCCCTAAACCTGATACCCCGAAGCCTGAAACCTTAAACCCCAGGTATTCGGATGGCCTTCTGCCACAGCAGCAGGGTCGTCACCTCAAGAGCGCTTCGGGGCTCAAGTGCTTCAGAGAGACCCAGAGAGCCCAAACACCCCTTAAATAAAAATAAGGAATTATACCTTACATTATAGGGTTCCTTAACGGGATCTACAAGGGTCTCTCTATAAGGGTTCTACAGGGGAATTAAGGGATATATACCTTAAGTTATAGCGGGCTTAATATTATGGGCTTTGGAGGTTACGGCTTTGGAATGTTTTAGTTTAGGACTTCAGGGTTTAGAGTCTAGGGTCTAGGCATTCGCACGAAGGGGCCGCAATCCATTGCTACTCGGCTCCTGCAACCACCAACCCGACATCCCCGCAGCTCTCCCCCTCGCAACCCCCCTGTAGCTTAGAAGCAGGCTGCTGGTGTAATATTATACCAACTCTTCAATGTCCAGAGCCCTTTTTCCAAAACAGCCCGACGAAATCCTCAGAACTCTGAAAACCCCAGAGGTCCAGCAACCCGAGAAGCCCCGGCCCCAAAAAACCTAGTTTGAGGTCTCTCGAACCCTAAAAACCCCACGAAAATCCTAGCACCCTAGAACCCCGAGGCCCGAAAGCCAAAGCACTAAAGCCCTAATGAATCCCAAAACCCCAAGAGACCCTAAACCCTAAACCCTAAAAACCCTAAACCCTAAGAAACCCTAAACCCTAAGAAACCCTAAAAACCCTGAACCCTAAAAACCCTAAACCCCAAATCCTAAGAGACCCTAAACCCTGAACCCCAACCCCTAAACCCAACAAACCCTGAACCCTAAACCTAAACCCTGAACCCTAAACCCTAAACCCTAAACCCTGAACCCTAAACCGTACACTCTACACCGCTTATCGTTTAGGGTTTAGGGGTTGGGGGGTTCCTAGGGGCTGGGAGACGTTGGGTTTAGG